GGTGGCTCATGCCTTTAATCCCAGTACTCGGAAGGCAGAGGCAGGCCAGTGAGTTTTAGGCCAGTCTGTTCTACAGAGCGAGTTCCAGGACAGGAACCAAAGCTACACAGAGAAAACCTATCTAAAAAAACAGAAACAAAAAAAAAAGAAAGAAAGAAAAGAAATTTTGAAGTCTCTAAGGGCTGAGCGGAAATGGGATATGAACTGAAACTTGGCTATCTGCATTTGCAGGGTCAGAACTTCAGGAACAGGGATCAGGCCCACTAGGAGAGGCAGAGCCTAGGTCCCAGCCCCAAGCCTAGCAGGCCCAGGAAACTGAGAGCATCCTGACTTTCATTTCCACGGCCACTTCTGTCCTGGCTCTACGTGCTCATACAACAGGCCAGATACGGCTTGGGATTCACTCCCAAGCCCCAGCTCTCCCCATCTATCCCAAGTTCACCTCAGACCATAGAAGGGTTGGGCAGACCCAGGAAGGGCCTAGGAGGACATGGGAGCCCCCTCAGCTCCAGCTGCCTGCCCCCCACTTGTGGTGGCTTAGGTGTCCAGGTAGGGGTCTTGCAAGGACAGCCCCAGGTCCCCTTGAGTTCAGTCCTGCTCCCACTCCAGGGCACTGTTTCCATTCCAGAGTCTTTTCAGTCGAGGGCAACAGGCTGTTCTGCAGACGGTGGGAGCTGGAGGCTCCATTCAGTAGACCAGGGACAATGCATTATAGACATTTTCAATTTGTAGTTCACTCTCCTCCAGCACTCAGACAGGCCTCCAGGAAAGGGCGGATTTTAAACAGAGCTGCTCTCTCCTCACTAATGGGGTCAGAGGAGAGGGTTTCAGGCTTGCAGCCACCGGGAGAGATGAGCACTATGGAGAGATGAGGTTCCACGGTTCCCCTTGAGGCAAGGGGCAGTGCTAGAACCCAGAACTCCTGACACCTGGCTCCACCAGCCTCCCTGGGCCCATCCTTTAAGACCTAGGGTGCTGACTTCACCCAGGGAGACCCAGATGATGGCAGGCACCTAGTCGCCATCCTTAAGAAACAACGGGATGGTGAAACATTCGGGAATGCCCCAGTGACTTTCCTTAATCTGGGCTTTCCCAGGGAATGCAGATGGATGTTGTCGTTTAATTGCATTATTAACAGCGGTAATTGCTGCCATTTATTATATGCTGACAGCGAGCGAAACATGCTGCACAGTTCTTGTGTTATCTCTGCAGCCGCGTCGTGTTCTCTCTCTCTCTCTCTCTCTCTCTCTCTCTCTCTCTTTCTCTCTCTCTCTCTGCGACAGGAACGGAAGTTCAAAACAGGTGAGTATCTTATCTAAGGTCACCACCCATGGTTAGGTGACCAGGCCATAATTTGAACCTTAGCCCGCTACTCTTGACTCCCCCACCCCGGTGTTCCATATTCCTGATGGTGTCTCACTTTAGAGGGATGCGCATGAGGAGGCCTTGCAGAGGTGAGAGAAAAAGAAAGGCGCCAAGAGAAGACCCCAGGCTCCTGCAACCCTGAGCCTGTGTCTTTGACGGTGAAGGAAGGGCTGGTGAAAGGGGTGGAGAACAGGGGTCCCCTTGTGATCATTCTCAAAATTCTGATCTCGGGGCTGGAGAGACGCTGATTGTTCTTCCAAAGGATCCTGGCTCCATTTCCAGAATTCACACTGTGGCTCACAGCGCCCTCCACAGGCAGGGAACACATGTAGTACAGAGACACATGGAGATAAAACACCCATACACATAAAACAAAAGGTTGAAAGAACTAAAAACAAAATAACAACAACAAAACTCTGATCTGCTAGCAGGAGACTTGGCAACACATGAGGCACTTTCTAGAACCTTTCAGAGATGGGGGGAGGAGGAGGTGGAGGCTGACAGTCTAACAGAACTACAGATGCCAAGAGCAGGAGAGATTTAGGTTAAACTCCCCAAGTGTGGGCAAATATCTGCCCACCCCAATTCTGGGCTCAAGGGCCAGGCATCTGCTCCATCTCCCAGTGTGGAGATGTTCTGGCCGGTGTGCCTGCTCGTCTGCGGATGCCCTGATATGTCAAGTGAATCCATCGTCAACGAAGGGGAGCAGTAAGGTAACAGAGTGAGGGAGAGAGGTGGGTCCAAGCTGTTGCAATGGAGGGGTACAAGCACAGGGTTTATATTTGATGCTCCCCAGGTCTGGACTCCGAGATGACGTTAGCCACTTTCCTCCCCGCCAACGCCAACGGAGGAAACCCCTTGTCTCTCTATGTAAAGGACAGGTCATTAGAGGCCAGCACGCAGCTCCTGACTCGCCTGCACTCTAGGAGAGGCCGTGAGTCGGTCGGAAGCGTCCACGCGGAGGCGCTAGAAGGGCGTAGGAAGGACGGAAGCAGAGTCCGGTGGCGTCCCCAGATAGTTCCCAAACAGCACGCCTTCTCCGTAGCCGAGACCTCTCACCCGAGTCCCCAACCCCTCATCCTCCATTCCGATTCCTTGGTCCAGGAGGTGAACGTTATAATTGTATGCAGATACAGGTTCGAATCCCGACTCTGCCACCCATGGCGCCTGGCATCCTGGAGCCAGCCTGTGCAACGGGCCCGCGACCCCCCTTCCTCTGGCCAAGTGGGCGCTTGGAAGCGTCGGCTTCCTGCCCGCAGCTCGCCCGCGGGATCTAGTGTTTCCCTTTTCTTCCTCTTTTTTTTTTTTCCTCCCTCCTCGCTTGCATCTTTTTCTTCTCGGCTCCGCAATCCTGGCCAAACCGCAGCCTTTAGCAATCCTTCGCGCCCACCCGGCGCCCAGCGAGCCTCACCGCTGCCGCGATCCGCCCCGCGGCCACAGCGCCGCCCGGGACCGGGCCGCCCACACGCGGTTGTTCTGGTCCTGAACTTGCCCTCCTCGGTCGGTGATTGCTGCTGCCGAACTCAACCGATAGGGGGCGCTGGCCAGCTCGACCGGTCCTGGGCGCTGCCTAGCTCGTCCGGTGGAGGGCGCTGCCCGCCCGAGCATGCGGACCTCTGTGGGTGGCAGGAAGTCCCAACCTGCCGGGGCCCCGCCTACCCCAACCGGGTCCAGCCCACCCTGCGTTTTCCCAAGTCTCTGCCACACCCGCGTGCGTTTCTCCTCCGGTGGCCTTGTTCTGCTCCTGGCTTTGTCGCCCCAGCCCAGCCACCTCCCGGGACTCAACATTGCAGCTGAAGGAGACTCATGGGCCACGGCCTCACCCGGGTGGCCGAGGACACCGGGCGGGGCTGCGAACCGGGTCGCCTGGCCTTCCAACCCAGCCTGACCGCAAACCTAGAGCGACGCTGCAAATAGTCGCGGTTTCCAGCTGGTGCCCTGCCTCCCTCTCTGCCTTCCGGACCTTTGGGGTTTTCTCTCTCTTCTCTCCGCCCTCTCATCTGCCCGATGCCTCCCGCCTCGTCCACACAGTGCGCCCACCACATCCTGCCCCAGGCATGGTGGTTCCTTCGCCAGCTAGGTGGGGAGCCTCAAGACCAGTGCTGAGGCCTGGGCTTCCTCTGTGCCTGCGAGCACTTTACCCACTCATTCATGAACTACTGGCCCCACCCTAGGAGGTTTTCAGACGGGGAAAGTGAGGCTCAGAAACTCATCATGGGCTAAGGTCAATCTGTCTGTGCCTACCGTGGGAAGGCCACCTCCCACATCCAGAGACCTGTGCTGGGATTTCCAGGCCAACCTGCAAGCCCTAATGGCACTGGAATCCCGGGTTCTCCTTTAGATCAAGCCTGACCTGCCTGTTTCCACATCTGTAAAAGGAAGAGGGGGAAAGTGGTACCTGTGAGGAAGAATTTGTTAAGGAAGATGATGGAAAGGCCAAAACCAGAGGGTGGAGATATTGGGAGTCTTGCCCATGGGAATGCTGAGTAAAAGATAAGTGATGTGGTCAGACACGGTGTCTTCATCATCTTCCCATCCAGTCTCAATAATAGTAATAATAATAGTTAGCCAGGCATGGTGGCACAAGCCTTATATCGCAGCACTTGGGAGGCAGAGGCAGGTGGATCTCTGATTTCAAGACCAGCCAATCTACAGAGAGAGTTCGAGGACAGCCAGGGCTACACAGAGAAATTCTTATCTTAAGGAAAAGCAACAATAACCGTAGTTAATGGACATTAAATATTGACCATTCCACACTGCGCTGAATGCTCCACATGCATTATCTCATTTATCCGCAGCCTAGTGTTACCCAGGAGGGTCCTAAGGTTTGGAGGGGTTACATAATAACCAGGGGTCACAACGCTCTTCAACAAAGACACTACAAGTGGATCCCAGGTCTCTGATCACAGGCCCCTTGTTCTAGACTGAGAGATAACGGATGGATGGATGGATGGATGGATGGATGGCCAAGCAGAGCGAGGAGCTTAACAGAGAGGGACTGAGCATATTCAGAAGCTTGGAGCTTGTGGAAAGAAAAGTGACAGGGAGGCACACAGGGGCTACAAGCAGAGGGGACAGGCGCGGTGCAGTGTTAGAAGGTCATTTTGGCAATAGTGAGAAACCAGAGGCTCATTAGCTGACATTTGGTGTCAGAGGCCATTTTCTGGCAAATCTCAGTTCCCACTCGCAAGCAGTGACATCCTGGCACCATACGCTCTCTCTTTCCATTCCCAACAATAGAGATACGCCCCTGGGCCCCTGGGGCTTGTCCCTGACAAACTGTAATCTCCAGGCCCCACGTACTGTGCCATTGTTCACCTGTCGCAGGAGGGAACTCAGCCAACGGTAAGGCTGGTATTGCATCAGTTAAGCCTGGGGATCAAATGTTTGGGGGTGGCTAGGGAGAGGTCTGGGATCTTGATGGTGTTGGCTCAATCAGCCAGGGAGAGAGCTGTTAGTGAAGTGGCCCAAAGATGGGATTAGTCACAGGAAGGAAACAGAGGAGCTGGAAGTCCTGGAGAACAAGGGAGGATTTCCCACCCACACTGGAGTGGCCCAGTGGGGATTGCTGAAGGAGGAGGCATCAGGCTGAGAGGGGCTCCTGTACTCCCTGGACAGAGCAGCGCTGGCTCACCATGCTGCCCCTCGTTGCCCTGTTTCTCCTGATTGGGCAGTCAGTGTGCGCTACAACAGGGAACAGAGAGGATCTGACCCTCAGCAAGGAAGCAGAGTCCTGGATGACCGTGAACCTGAAGGTACCCAGGGTGGAGGGCTGGGAGATCCCTTCTGAGGCTGCCAGAATAGCTGAGTGTACCCCGAACCCTGAATGGTAGGCTAGTCAACTTCCCTGAGTGGGAAAAGTCAAGGCCACGAGCCCTGATCTGTCCAACATCAGAGACACATTCAGCTCAGACATGTGACAGCAATAATGTGTGCCGTGTGTACAGAAACATGTAGTTAACACCTGCTCTATTCCTCATACTGTCCTGACTGTATCATAGACAGTAACATGTTTCAACTTCATGGCGAGGCTACCATCATTATTCCCATTTCACAGATGAGAAAACTGAGGTACAGAGGGCAAAGAGCTTGTCTAAGATGCACGGCTTCAAAAGTATTGATTCCACCTTAGCTAGGTGCTGATTCCGCCTTAGCTAGGTGCTGACCGTATCTAAGCATCAGAGAATTTCTTTTCACGGCACCAACTGGAACAGGATCACTAGTTGGTGTCACACAAAGGAGCACTTTTGTCCCCTGACAAACACTGGTGTTTGACTATGGTGGTGTCTACCAAACTGGTGAGCACTGCCACTGGAAAGAAATCTAAAAGTTAGGGCCCCGGCCTCCTCTGAGATCCAATACTGCCGACCTAGGTGAAGACCCTATCCTGGGAGCTCCCGATCCCTGACCAAGGAACCAGGAGGGTAACTGCGGCCTGTCTCCCCGCAGTCCCAGGATGGAAAGGACACTCAGCTGAGGTTGGCTTATGCTGCTGGGCCATGTGAGGTCCCTGGACACTAATGGAATTGGGGGTTAGAGTTGTGGCTCAGGTAAAGGGCTTGTTTAGTATACATGAAACCGTGGGTTCAATCCTCTCGAGGCAGGAGGATCAGAAGTTCAGGGTCATTCTAGGCTCCATAGGGAGTTCAAGGGCAGCCTAGGGAGAAGAGGAAGCTTCAATAATGGGACCCCAGGAAAAACGATGCAGAGAGAGCCATGCTGGGGGGTCCTCTCTAGTTTGACTAGGGAAATGTGGGCAGTGGGAAGAGGACAGCAGGCCTGGAGACCTGGGTTCAAGTCCAGCTTCTCCACTGACTCCTGCAGTTTCCTTGCCTGCGAGATAGAGGGAGAGAGAAAATAAAATAACCCCTAGTTCATTCTGGAGCTGCCACTTTTTTTTTTTTTTTGAGTCTACGACAGACAGGCAATGTATGGAAAGTCCTGTTGGATCATAGAGAACACTGGGCACAGCCACATAGGGGTGTCATCAGCTTCACATGGTATCGGCAGCTTTGGTTTTCACCTGTAGTCAATTAGCTCATCCTGCAGGGGTGACTCTTGTCCCCCTCCTCTCTCCTGTAGTGCCTCTCTGCCTCCCAAGAAGAGGAGAGGCTAGGCTAGATGACCAGAAATCTCGACAGACTGACCGCGCGTTGCTAAGTGTGACGACAAATGGGATGACCTCATAGCTCCCAGTTCCGAGGGTGCCCTGTCTGCAGGCACCACGGGGCTTCCTGGGTAAAACAGAATGGGCCTCCCAATGCTTTCCCCCCCTCCCCCCAGCAGAAACCTGGCGGATAGAAGGGTCTCTGCTCTGTTTATTTCACAAAAGCCCATTCTTTCCAGTCTGAGCTTGAAGCATGTCCTTTATTAAGGCAAAGTGGTTTTCGTGAGCTTTTCAAAGATGGGCTTAAATCTCCAAAGAGATTTTTCTCTGGTTTCTGGCTAGGCTGGGCGACTCCAGCTGGTGACAGCTGTCCCAGCCACTGACAGCTCAGGGAGGAGACAGATTGGGAGACTGAATTAGGCCAAGGCTTAGAAAACAATCTATCACAAAAAACGGTGTGACAAGCCCCAAACAGCTCGTGGGTCTTCCCTGACTCCCAACCGGATCCCTGGAGTCCTGAGTTCTGCAGCAGCTCCGAGTCACTGAGCTGTCCCCAGCCCCCAGGTCCCAGCCTGTGGCCTGTCTTCGGCCTTGTTGGACATGTTCAGAGGTGGTCAGAGAAAAAGGTGCTCCCTCAAAAGATTCAAGGTCACAGAGGGAGTGGGGGTGGGGGAGAACTCAGGGCCACAGCTGCTGGGAAGGATATTTGCCAATTGGGCTAGCCTAGGGGATTAAAATGTCTTTCTTCAGGGCAGTAGCTCCACCCAGACCCCATGGGGGACTCCTCCTAGGATGCCCGGCTCTGGGGAGGGTAAATCTGGGACAATGCAGGAAAGAACAGCTATTAGCCCTGGTTGCCCTGCTATGGTAAGGGGCAGCCACTTCTGGTCCTTGTTAACATTTCTCAAGACTTTTGATCCTGCTTCAGCTTCTCCTGTCACCCTGATTAAGGTTACTAGAAACCTCAGTTTCCACACATAAGTAAAATGGATAGGGGGAGTCACTTTTTTGTTTGTTTGAGTCAGGGTTTCTCTGTGTAGAAGCCCTGGCTGTCTTTCAAATTAGCTCTGTAGACCAGGCTGGCCTTCAACTCTCAGAGATCCCCCTGCCTCTGCCTACTGAGTGCTGGGATGAAAGGGGTGCATCACCATCCAGCTACGTGTTCTTTTGAGACAGTCTTACTATGTATTACTACGTATCCCTAGCTGACCTGGAACCACATGTGGATTCGTCTAACCTCGGGTTTGTAGCACTCCTGCTTCTGCCTTTATGTGTGTGGTGGTGGTAGTGTTTTGGCTATGTGCCACTCGAGTGTAGGGTTTCCATCACATGCCACCATGCCCAGCTCCTGTCTTAATGGTAGTTTATTTATATTAAAATTTTGACCGAGTGTTTGAGAGCCTACCCTTTGATCTAGACAGCTTTGGTTCTGGCTCTTCTCAGTTATTTTTGGACATATCATTTCACCTCTATGTACCTGGATGTCTTCATCTATAAAATGCTGACAGCAATAATATTGGGCTGTTTTCACGAGGTTTGGGTGAGAATTAGTGAGCTACCGAATGAAAGTGCTTAGGACAGTACCAAGAACATAGCAGGTGAAATTTTACATCATCCTTAATACAATGTTGGGGGTAAAATATGCAGAAGAGCCTGGTGTTGGGCTGTTGTTGAGCTGGTTATGGCCCCGTCTCCCCATCAGCGCCACACTTTAATGCTAACTCTCTGCTTCTCCAGGGACTCCCTGTTGCCAGCATTGAACTCCAGCTTCAGGAGTTGAAGAGAAGCAGAACCCGTCAGTTCTACGGTCTGATGGGGAAGCGGGTGGAAGGTGAGTGACAAAGGCAGAGGGCGTGGTGCTGAGTGCCTTCTGCAACACCAGGTAGAGGATGCCCATGGGATGGTGAGGTACACTGCCCCTACCAGTCATCATCCCAGCAGGATGCTTTGGGGGGTGCCAGTGGCAACAGGTCCAGCACAGGAGCAGTGGGGCTGACGCTTTACACCCAGGTTCTGTACCTGGATGATGGGGCGTGCTGAGAAATGAACAGCAGCATCTAGATGTGAGCTAGGCAGGTTTTCCAGCCGTTCAAGGACAGTTATTGTGTCCCTGAGGGTACTGGGAACAAGCTGTCCCGGGAGACAAGTCATCCTGGGCAAAGCTCAGCTTCTCTTGGTTTGCGGTCTTCAACACTGTTGTCCTGAGTAGTCACGCTCTGTGTTGGCATTTTGCTGTCCATTTGGAGACATTCATCAAAGTAGGAAATGTGGCCACTCTCCCCCCCCCCCCCCCGCCCCAGACTGTTTTTCTGTGTAGCTTTGGCTGTCCTAGAATTTACTCTGTAGACCAGGCTGGTCTCAAACTCATAGAGATCTGTCTGCCTCTGCCTCTGCCTCTGCCTCCTGAGTGCTGGGATCAAAGGCGTGCACCACCAACATCTGGTGTACACTTTTGAGCAAGTTTCAGACCAGAAAAATCTCAAGTTTGTATGATAATGTCACATGAGCCGAGATGTGTGTACTACAGGGTTCACTGCCAAGTAGTTCATAACAGCAAGGTTTTGCAAAACTTAAGACCACCAGTGGGGAAATGGTCAGAATATGACCATAAATAGGACACGGTGGCATATACCTGTAATCCCAGCATGCGGTGGGTAGATACAAGACAGGGTTAGAAGTTCAAGGTCATTTTTGGCTACATAGTCAGTTTGAGGCAGCTTAGACTACATGAGACCCTGTCTTAAAACACCAGGGTAGGGGGAGGATCAGGGAGATGGCTCAGTTAGTGAAGTGCCTGCCACACAAGCATGAGAGCCTGAATTTAGCACTCAACACCCACAGAGAATCTAGACAGCACACCTGTAATCCTAGCACTGGGGCGGTAAACACAGGATGATATTTGGGACTTGCTGGCCAGCTAGTCAAACCAAATTGGTTCAGTGGGAGGCCCTGCCTCAAAAACCATAATGGACATTGAATCAGGAAGACAAAGTTTTTGTTTTTGTTTTTTTTGCCCTTGAACACAGCGGAACCTCAACATAGCCAGGTCACTATGGCAACAACACCCCCATATGCCCAGTGACTAAGGTTCTGATAGTACTTTTCCCAAGGATGCCTCCCAGCTGGTGTCAAATCCCAGTGATGTATGCAGTGATGTATGCAGGCTCTACTGCCTCCTGTGGGCACACTCCCACTGTCACACAAGGACAGTGGGAATGGCCAGCGTTCCCGTGAAGAGCCCCTCACACCTCTCACCAAGCCGCCAGGGAAGCAGTTCAGTCTTCAGTCCCTTTCTCCTTCCAGGAATACGTCCGATCCAGCCAAGGGAAGGAATGGGTGAGTGCTGCCCTGGTCTACCCTCAGCATGCTCCCTGGGGTGTGGCGGGGCACAGTGTTAGCCATTAGCCACCCTGGAATAAGCGGTGAAGCTCTGGCTGGGGGCATGCCTGGTTGGTACTGCTGTCCCATCGGGGGCTGCTGGGACTTGACCAGAAGATGGATTTTCTGTGTGGGATATGCAGGCCTAGGGAGTGCCTGCAGAGGTAGGAGACTGGGCTAGAGCTTTAGAATGACCAGAGTTAAGAAAATGAATCAACCAGGAAGAGCTCAGAGATTCAACCCCTTGCCCTTGAAGATGTTAGAACTGCAAATCCAGGTTAAGCCCTTCCACAGAAAGGGGATCACAAGAGGGGTCAGGTGTGGTGGCTCACACCTGCAATCCCAGCACTTGGGAGGCTGAGGCAGAGGGATGACAAGGTATAGGCCAGCCTGGACTACAAAGCAAGAACCCCTCTCAAATGCAACGAAACAACACAGGTAACACCAACTTGTTCCCACAACTCCTGAATGCTGCGTGGATCAGGCACACCCGCTTTGTGCCCCTTAGGGTCGTTACTGGTTTCAGCTGCCCCATCCTTAACAGCTGATGCGGGACTGCCCCTCCTGAGCAGGGAGCTCTTCTCCATGGCCTGGGGATGGTGGACTCAGTGGCACACTGCACTGTGCAGTCCTGGTGCGTCACATGGCTGTTGTTTCCAGCCTGGAAACTCCCCACAGGAAGCCCCAGGGTTTCGGTCACTCCACACCCTTAATACTTAGCCTAGTCTCTATACATGGAAATATCGGTGAAAAGGACGAGCAAGAGGAGGGATTCGATGAGTAAAGCCATGGATGGATGGAGGGATTCAGGGCATTTCTTTACCTGCCCTGAGTGAGGATGGCTGCCTTTGCAAAGCCCAGCTCTGCCCTGCCTGTCCTTACCCCATGCCCTAGGCAACCTTCCTTTACTGCTCCCCCTTTCTCTACCTCTCACCAGGTTATCAGCTGGGACGAATAATGCAGGACCTCCTTGGCGCGAGAGGCTTCTCCATAGAAGGTAGGAGAGAGCATCTGAAGGGTGACAAGGGCATCATGGGAAAACAGCCAGGCACTCTGCTGCCATCAGATGAGACAGGCTCCCATACCATTCTACCCAGCAGAAGGGTCCAGAGGAGGCAGGAGCTGAGGTTCAAAGGATGGGAGAGGCTCCTGCTGGTCTTCTGAGTATTCGTGTCTGCCATATCATGTGTGTGGTCAGAGGTCAACCTGCAAGAGTTGGTTTTCTTCTTTCATCATGTACCGGAGACCCAACTCAGGTGGTCACACATGGTGACGGGTCCCTTTACAGGATGAGCCATTTTGCCAGCCCTGATAATCTTGGAGTTGTCTTTCCCAGCCCATGTCCTCTAGGTTCCGTGGAGCCACAGAATAAGATGTTCTGCAGACATCTTCCTTTCCTGTCTGTAAAGTCCTAGTTGTTGATCCCTAGAGGCCAGGAATTTGGTCTTAAAGAGATTCTTAGTCAACAGCTGTTATTAAGTGAGCAGTCCTATTGGGGGGGACGATAACCTAAGCAGCTAACATTCTGCCCCCCACCCCAAGCAAGAGCTGTACCCTCAAATGGTCCCTGAAGCCAGGCATGAAGATAAACAATTCAGGCTGGGGGAGGAGCAGAGCCAGTGAGCCATCACAAAGCGGTGGATCCACAGTGATCAGATGCAGGTCACACGATGAACTCCATGCTGTTTCAGTGTTGTACCTGACTTCTGGCTCCTCCCTAGCTTTCCTGAAAGAACACTGGCTATTGGGAAGGCCAGAATGAACTCTTTCCCCCTGAGATTATTTTCAGGGGATGAGTCTTTCAGAGGGTCTTTGGAACTCGCCCCGGTATCAAGTTGAAATGAATGTTCTACGTCATGGGGAGAGCTGGTTGCTTAGAGGCATCATTTTCCAGGGACAGAAAGTAATTTGTCCTTAGCCACAGTGAACTAGTAACAAAACCAGTTTTCCATGTCCCCAGGAAAATCTTTTGGGCTTTAGGATACCATTCCCCTTTCTGTGGAGGATGACCAAGGGCTAGTTGGAGATGTGGCAGATGAACCTTTAATTTCACTGCTCTAGGAGCCTGCAGACAGGAGACACACCACGAGAGTGCAGAGCCCGGAGCAGTGGCCAGGGAAGGCCTCCAGAGTCAAACAGGAAGACCAGACTCTCTCAATCACCAGCAACGTGTAGCACTCTCCCTGGACACGGAAGAGGATGACCAGGGTTTAGAGTGAGCCCCAAAGGATGCTTCCCAAATGATGCCATGCTCACCTCTCCCTGAACGTTACAGCTGAAGCACCTCGGGCCAGCAGTCCAGTGTCTTCTGTCCTTAACTTGGGCATTCATGCCAGGCCCGCACTGAGCCCTGCATTTCTCCCAGGCCTCTTGGCACCAGGTAGCAATGGCACACAAAGCAGTGCTGCCTCACAGGCTGTAGTGGCCCAGCTCTCCCTTGCACCCAGGCTCTCGTGTCTGTGTACTACAGGGTAAGATTCACACCCTGTAACTCATGCCCAACAGTGGGGCTCCATAAAAGTGAGCAGTGCAGAAGAACACAAATAAATTAATCCCACACTAACTCAGAATGAAGTATAATAAGGGGTTCTTTATTTAAGGGGGACTCACAGATCACAGTCCTCTGCACACACGGGGAACAGGAACTGAATCCAGCATCCAGGAGAGAGGAGAGAGCTCAGGCGCACCTTTTTGGTACTCATGTCCACGCCCAACCTGCCACGGCCTCTCCAAGGCCACGGCTGAAGGAGGTTCCTCAGCACCTCCCCTTCTTGTCTAAATAAGAGTTCCAAACCCAATACAAAACTATACATAACAGGTATCAAATATAAAAATTAGAATTACAACCAAAATAAACAATAGTAAGCAAGAAACATATGTTTTAATAATTATTTTATCCTAAGGAGTCTTAAGTCTTGCATTAGAAATGGTTTGGCTAAGTCATTAGAGGAAGGTAACTACGTCTATCTAGTCTTCAACCTCATAGAAGACCTGAGAAGGGAAATAATATTACTTGAGTAAGCAGGAAGTGAAATGAAGCAGCTTCCAAAATGTGCAGTAAATGACAGAAACAACTGGCTACCTGGGCAATCACCCAAAATCTCATTTGCAACGTTGGAGCAACCAACTTTGGCTAAGGCCTAGAGTAACTGACAGACCATTTTCAGAGGCAGGAAAATTTCCAAAACCATCTTACCCTGTCTTGGTAAGGTTTGGCTTTTTTTCTTGTATTTTGCTTGTCTGGTCTGGACATCGTGCATTTTGTCAGTGGTCGAGGCAAGGGCAGTTCCTTGCCCAAAGGCCAGTTTTGCTAAGAAGAAAACAAGCTCCAAATGGAGTGTCTTTGGTGCTCAATGTTCTCTCGGGAATAGATTGGTGCTGCCAGGAGCAATCATGTCTTATGCCAACAGAACCCTAAATTACTTAAATGCCACATTCTACAGTTCTGGGATAATAGGTAGACTAGTGTGAGCTTACTCACAGAGCGGTAACAAGTAGCTTTCTTGGCCAGGTAGGACAGAGGGCAGGATGTCAGAAGAGCAGAGCAAAATTACACAGCCCAGGTCCACCCTCAGGCTAAGAACTGCAACAGAACCAAGAGAGTTCCTGATGGGGTGGGCACTGCATGCATTTGGGTGTAAGAGGGAGTAGGGTCAGAGGCCTTCTCCTTGGATTCCTGATATTCCTGGCTTGATGATATGACTGAGTGGGTTTGCCAAGACTAGCAACTTGAATTCAATCCTCAGGACCCACAGGTGGAAGAGTAAACACTTCCAAGTAGTCCTTTGACTTCTACATGTGTGAGATAGCATATGTGTACCAACACACAGACACAAAATAAAGCTAAAAAAGATTTAAAAAAAAAAAAAACAAAAAAACGAAGTCACCCTCTCCAACTTAGTCCTCCTGATTGCAGTTTGGTCCCAGATCATCAATCTTTTTGTATAAGGTGGCCCTTCAACTGCTTGGCTTTTTACAACAATTAGCTGTCCCCATTCGTATGCCAGGGTAGAGCTCAAGAAAAACAGAACAGCACCAACCTCAGAGCCCCAATCTAGTGGGGGAAACACTTTGCCTATGACAGAGGATCCTGAGATGTTTAATGACGTCAGAAGATAGGTATAGTGTGGTATTTATCTGCAGTCTCAGCCCACAGGAGGCTGAGGCGTGAGCTCAGGAATTCAGCCTGAACAACATGCTGGGACTCTATCTGGGAAAGAAAATGTTGTCCAGTGAGTGACTCACTTATCTCAGTGAGTAGACCGCTTACCACCAAATCTGATGCAATCTCCAAGACCCACTCGGTGAAGAGAAGTAACTCTCAAAGCATATCCTCTGATCACTACATGTGATGTAGTAGTCACACGTGTGTACACACAAAATAGTTAAAATTTTCTTTTTCTTTTCTTTTGGCTTTTTGAGACATAGTTTCTCTGTGCAGCATTGGCTGTCCAGGAACTCACTTTGTAGACCAGGCTGACCTTAAACTCAGAGATCCGCCTGCTTCTGCCTCCCAAATGCTGGGATTAAAGGCTTGCGCCACCGCACCCAATTAGTAAACTTAATTTTTAAAAAGTCCCTTAGAATGAAATCTAAGGGCAAACACTGGAAATAAGATTGGTAGGGGATGGAGCCAGCTCAGCCAGCACAGTACTTTCCATGTAAGCATGAAGACCGCAGTTTGATCCCCAGAATAATAAAATAATAGTAATAATAATAATAATAGCCAGATGATGGTGATGCATACTTTAATCCCAGTATTCGGGAGGCAGGTGGATCTCTGTGAGCTCAAGGCCAGCCTGATCTACAGAGTGAGTTTCGGGACAACCAGAACTGTATAGTGAAACCCTGTCTCAAAAAACCAAAAACCAAATGACAAAAAACAGGAAAAAGAAACAGAGCATGGTAGAGTGTTTGTTTTTGTTTTCAAGACAGGATTTCTCTGCATAGCTTTGGAGCCTGTTCTGGCACTCACTCTGTAGACCAAGCTGGCCTCAAACTCAGAGATCACCTGCCTCTGCCTCCCGAGTGCTGGAATTAAAGGCAAGTGCCACTGCCCAGCAGTAGTGTGTTTATAATCATGGTGTTGGGGACAGAGGACAGAGATAGGTGAGCTCTATGCAAATGAGAGATCTGGTCTCAAAAACACAAGTGTTTAGCACCTGAGAAACAATACCCTCTCATGCTACGCATACACACGCAAGTACCCAAGTATACATAGGAACATATGTGATAGGGCTGAACTAGAAATATATTGGAATTACATGGGCAGGGTTAACAGCAAAGGAAGCTCATTCACTTACTGAACCACAAAAATATGTTCATCTTGTGTCCCTCATTCCAAGAGGAAATGGTTATCTTTCCGGGGGCACTTGTTCCCCTCCATGTGTGACGTCGAGTGGCAGCTAGGTACATTGAAAAGGAAGGGAAGTTAAGCATTTGAATGCCTGGACGGTGACAGCAGAGGACACTGGAGAGGTGATCAAATTAATTAAGACTACCACTAAGGAAGTCTTCACTTTTTTTTTTCTCATTTTCTTTTTTCCTAAGACAGGGCAGCTAGGATGGGCTTTAATCTGCAATCCTCCTCCAGGTTCAGCCACCCCAGGCTAGGATTACAGCTCTGTACACCCTGCCCAGCCAGCCTGCTTTCACTAGACCTATAGTAAATCTGTTCTAAAACTTCCTGTTTACCATTAAGACTCAAGCCAACTCCAAGCCTTTCTTTCTTCTCACACATGGAGAGAAATATCGAGTGGGGGACAGTATGGACTTCTTCCCTGGAGTCTGTCCTTACAGCAGAATTTTCCAGTAGATATACTTCATCTGCTCACTTCCCAATCCAAGCATCCCAGGTGCCTTGGAAGACTCGATGGCTTTTGGAAAGAGCTGAGATGTCCCCACTCTGAAAGCCCACTTCTGTGCATGTCACCCCAAGCTCCTGATCTCTACATACAACACTGTCTCCATTCGAGTAATTTCTAGTGAGTAGCCAAGCCAGTTGCTTTGTAAAGGTTTCTAATTGGGAACCATCATTTGGCTGCCTTGGTGTCCTCTTCTTCCCATTCCCACTGTTCAGTGGTGAGATAATGTTGGTGCTCTAAGTACTGAGCTCGTCTCTCAGTACGGTGGGATTTCTCAAAGTACAGGATCTAACGCCAGCTCAATGGCAGTACTGGTAAGTGCTTGGAGAGTATCTGGAAGGATTAACATCCCCTGCATCCAACAGGCCTGTCTCCAGGGAGCTACACAGTACAGGTAACAGAAATAGTGGTCATCCCAAGAAGAAAGTTATAGCTCTGAAAGGCATGTCTCAAGTGAGTGTGGTGCCACACACCTGAAATCCCAGCATTCCAAGCTGGAGGCAGGAGGATTAGGAATTCAAAGCCAGACTCTGAATTCCTGAGTTAGGTTGGAAGTGACATCTTCAACCCCATGTTTGAGTTTTTGGTGTTGTCAGCAGGAGCACCCCAGTTCTGTATAGTCTCTCCACACACTGCAGGTCAACTTCTGCTTCTGATCTACAATCACCAAACCATCATTCCAAAATCCCAAATCTGACATACACTCAAGGGAAGTGAACCACTCACAAGGCCCCCATGCACACAGGGATGAAGTAGCATCTAGCCCGCTCTAGACTGAGATAAGAGAACAAGTCTCCAACAACTTGTGGCAGAGTTAAGTCCAAGGTAAGCTGTTTCCAGAAACAACCCCTACTGGAACGTGACTTGTAGAGAATAGAGATGCTTATCACTCACAAGGAACACTTGGGAGGCGACACCATGGAGCCAAAGTGGTCAACAGTCCAGGTTATTTTCTCTATTCTAAGGCTCAAGTAAACAAAGCCAGGTGTCCGAACATGTACCTGAAGGCACACACTGAACAGGAGGGGAGGGGCAAACTGATGCTTCACCCAGGGGGGCATTTTCCTCACTGCTGAACCTTGTTTCTGGCTTAGTGACATTCACTGGCATTGCTTAAGATACCACAAAGGAAGTGAGCAATTTACACTGCCCCCCTCAGTCTGCAAGAGACGGTCATTTGCAAGCTTGTGGCCAAAAGTCCTGAGTAAAAGCAGCTGAGATCCCATTCCTAGCACATCACATCCTATTATTTAGCAAAGGTGTTCTCATCTTCTATTCTCAAGACACACACCCTGTGAGTCCAGCAGCCAG